CATTCTTCTTTACTGTGTTCATATACTTGAACACTGTTAGCAGATTCTGTTACTGAATTAATAGGTACGGGCAAGTTTGTTGTATTTACTATCAGTAAAGTTGGGTTTACAGCCACAGTGACAAACCACCCAATATTTACCTAATACCCCCCCCCCCCCCCTTTCCTTTTGTCTCATAGAAGAGCAAGGCTACTACTACTTCACTTACTATGCCCTCAGAAAGGAAAAAATAATCAGGTGGACTTACAACTCTGGCTGGAAAGTCAGTTCACCTGACTATTCAATCCAAATAAATGAATCAGGCAAACTGATTGAAACCACTAGGGGGGAACCCAAAACAGAAGGAAAAACCTAACTACTGTTTAGGGATAGGTCAGGAGCTCCTTTGGAAAAAAAAAAAAAGCTGCCAAGAGGTCAAAGCCTTTGAAATTCAGACAGTGTAGACAGCATTAGGTAATTATATACAGGATTCAACATTTTTTCTAATCTCCCAAGAATTTACTAAATTGAGTCCCTACAGATTGAAGTCCAAGTTGTGTCTTGACTTACAATCAGTAAGTCATAAACAAAATGCCGTATTATTTTCATTACAATGACAATTCATTTTTGCTAGGCCTTTCAAAACCCCACAAATATGTGAGACCACAGTTAATTCAAAGGTAAGTAAACTCAAACAGCTCTTTAAAGCAAGGTACTAATTTTGGTATTTGGCTCTAGTGTCTTATGACTGGTCTGAAGACTACTTTCGCACTTAAAAGGATAACGAAATTATAAGAGCTAAAACTTCATTGTCTTCATGTGCCTATAGAAAGATTTATTTTGTTTTTTTCTTCTAAGAGCTCAGTTTCAAATGTTTATCAGGCCCTGTTAGGAGTTGATAAAGGGACCTGAGTAGAACATAAGGAAGACCCAGCTGGTAAAAATTCTCTTGAAAGTCACTTTAGTGTATGTCACCTGCCCCTTGACTGCTTCATCTTCAGCAGAGGCAACCAAGGCATACAAACTGCATACAGCACTGAACCTCCTTGCACTGTCATCCCCTTGCTCCCAGCCCCAGCTCTCTTAGACAGCCAATACAGCTTTTCCAGGTTATGCAAGTCCATCGCAGCAATCAGGATCCATATACCATCAGTGGGTCTCTTGGGTTGGATATTTAACAGCGCACCACACATTTTAAAGATTAGCACACAGAAGCTCTATTTATCTTGAATAATTAACAAAGTGTCTACCCAAATTAAAAAAAATGCCAGGAGGTTTATTGGAGCAATTCCAGCATAGTTCACTTGATACTAATTTATAGCTCAGAATTATTTTATCCAGACAAGCACTGATCTCAATATTTCTGTGAATGGGAACCAATTTTAACTGTCCCATCAGATCTGAAAACACATTTTGGATTGCATTAATTACCTGCACCAACCTTTTCTGCATCAGTTTGTTCACATTATTCTAGATAAATGTCAGCTTCTGTGAGTCAGTAGCTACTTTAAATTTAATTTCAATATGCAGGTTATCAGTATCTTGATACGACATGATGCTAACATACACGACTTGATTCTAACATACCTACAGCAACACATCCCAACAGCCTCCTAACCTCAAAGGAAGTTCCAGCTCACCATTTCCCTCTAGCTAGCATTTAGGGAAAGAGGGCACAAAGAAAAGAGAAACAGCTCCCTTTCACTAAAAGCCATCTGTAACCAGCACAGAAAGAAACTCTCCCATTTGGTGAGTTTCACAGGTACACAGGTTAACTTCAAAACAGAATAATACTTAAGTGTTAGAACTCTGATATGAAAGTACAGATATACATTAAAGATTCACACTGACCAATTTAAAGACTTCTTGTGCTCACCTCCATCAATGGGCTCATACTGCAGGAAGCACCAGCCAACATCACTAAATAAGTTTCCAGAAAGCTACACTGTCACCACCCTTTTTGTTGCGGTCATATTGGAACTAAGCACTATGCAATAGTTTCTCTTATTCTAAAAGAGAGAACACTGTATGTGGAGAGCCTCTTGTCTCAATATTTAGTGATCTTTTCATGTGATTCATCACTGTGTCTCCTTTGCTGAATCAGGAGCTAAGTATTTACCTAATTTTGGCTTTACTGGAGCAAAATAATTTGGTACAGAACTCTGAACTGATGCTGTGAAACAAAGCCACCTTATCAGAGTAAGACTTCTATCTTAAGAAAAAGGATGTTTTGCAAAAATATCACTTCATTGTTTAAAAAATAAGATAAGGAGAAACTAGGATATCTGAAAAAAGACTTTTAATTTGCTAGTGAAAGAACTTAGTCCAACGTTTTTCTGGAACTGTAAAATGTAGAAAAACAAGAATAATTAAGGTATTTCACAACTCTGTTATGTAAGGCAAGATTCAACAGCAACTGACACAGTATTTTACAATCAATAAGAAGTATACGTATCTAAGGAGGCAAAGAACAAAAAAAGCAAATGAGCTAAGAAACAGTGCAGTCAGTTAAAAGATACAGGTATCAACGAGAAACCTAATCACAGTGGAGAACCAAAATTTCTGTATCAGGTGCGGGCATGTGCTTCCACTTCTCCACAAGCACAAGCACACACACCCCTCTCCAGAGAGTCAAAACCAAAAGCTTTACAGCCACAGTATCTAGAGATGTTTTCCTGCCAGCACTTTGGAGATTCTTAAAGGTCTGTTTTCCAACATTTGTGACCCAAGTCTGTATTCCAATTTTAGATTTTCCAATACAGATTTAAAGAACATGGTTAACCAAAACAAACAACCCACCCTCCTAAAAAGGCACACAAAAACACCCACAAACTACGGACTTGCATTAACATGACAAACTACTCGGTTCCTTTCTTTTTATATGGAAAAAGAGAATTCAGCTATACCCAATCACTTTTATGGCCTTTAAGCAACTGTTTGCTCAATGCTACACTTCAGCTGTAGTTGTAATTCTTATGGGCTACCAGTCATTTCTATAGCATAGCAAATATCAGTTACCTCTATGGCAATCAGAGCTACAATCAGCTTTCCCTAATGCCACACCACGCCTAATAAACCTATGAACAGATTCATCCAACAATGAAGTATGAACATAGGGTAACAAAGCTTCAAAACATGTTAATTTTTTAGCTCTTTATAGCAAAAATGGGTATGTGTTTATGAAATATTTGCTGTATTGTTTCTAGCACATCTCTAATGTTCCTTTGCTTTTTAAGGGTAAGTTTCACTATTAAATACCCACGAGTTTCCCCAAGTATATACGAATAGCACACAACTACCCCAAGGCTTTCTTTCAGCATTACCTACTATTTATTTTCTTCTTCACAGATCCCTGAAAGTGCTCAAACGCCACTAGTGGCCCACACGATGGCAGGGCTTGTTTCTTTATTTAGAAAAGAAGTAAAATATCAAGAACAATAAACATTATAGTGCTAAAACCACACTTTCATACACATACAACTGCTAAGAAAGATTCTGTGCTACTGTAACTACAAATAAAGAAGTAAAGCAGAGACATCCTGAAAGACTTAAACTTCACACTGTAGGTCGTATGTTAAAACATGTTTTCTGAGACCATGTACAATATAAGCATTTTATTCTCTACCATGGCATACATACCATTCAGCACTAGCAGGTAATGAAAAAAACATTACTTTCAAGCAGACACCCTGCCACATTTTTAGTTCTTTATAAATTAGCAGAGCAAGAAACAAGCCAAATTCGTGCAGCTAATGTGACAAGCAAGCCTTAAGAATCTTTCCTGTTACTAGATCATAAGCCCTAATCTCATAACCCATTTTGTAAAAGCTGGTCTCTTTAAACAGCAGTATTTAGGTAGCCCAAGTATTCAGATCCGAGAACATGAAAAAGACTATAATTAACAGAAATGCAGCACATATGAAGCACTTAGTCATCAGTCCTATACCAATGACAATAACACTACTTTCAAATCATACTTCCCAAGATTCAACTGAAGGCATTCAAGTACATAACTAGAAAGAAAAACCGAGCAGTTAGTATTCAGAACAGAAACACGTCCTTTAAGTATCGAAAGCTTAAGTCTGAGGAGTAAACAGCACCAGGAAATTAGCTTCCAGCAAACTCGGCAGCGGACAGCCACCATTTAAAGCGCAGCAGTGATCACTCCGTCCACCGTTAAGCGGTAAACAAGACGGCAAACACCGAAACACTAGTGCGGGTTTAAGGACCAACCCTTCCCGGGCACTAGGGCGGAAGGGGCAGGCCGGTGAGCGCCGAACACAGAGACGTAGGGGCAGCTGGCACCGGCAAGCAGCCCTAGAAGGCGCGCAGGGCAAGAGGAGAAAAGCAATGAGTTCCTCCCCCCCACCCTGCCTCGCCTCAGCCCGGTGGCTGCGAGCCAGGGCCCCCCACCCGCCCGCCCCCAGCTCGGCCCGCACCTGCAGGGTGGTGATGTGCTTGTCGTTGAACTTGTTCTCGCAGTAGCGCAGCACCAGAGAGGTTTTCCCCACGCAGCCCTCCCCGAGCAGCACCACCTTGAAAGAGAAGGTGCGGCCCCCGGCCGCCGCACCGGCCCCCGCCGCCATCCGCGCCCCGCAGCCGAGTCTAGCCGGGCCGCCGCCGCCTCACATCAACGGTCTACACCGCCGCCCACCGGGACGGGGAACTCGCGACGGAACAGGAGGAGGGCCCGAGGGACGGGAGCTAGACAGGGAGCGATGGAAAGGAACCGCGGAACCCCAGGGAAGGCGGTAGGGGAGGAAAGACACCCAGAGCCACAACGGTACCCCCAACCGACAGCCCCGCTCCCCCTAATGGCGTCTTCTTCCTCCTACGTCAGGCGCCGCCCGGTCACGCGCACCACCCCGTCCGCCAATGGAAGGCGTGGACGCGACGGCGGCGAAAGGCCCCGCCCAAGGGCCTCTGAGGAGAGGGGCGAGGAGCGGGGAGGGGCGGTGCGGTGCGGGGCCTCCAGCAGAGCGAGGCGGAGCCGGGCGGCAGCTCACCTCCTGCTCCGCCGGCCCCGGTGGCCTGCCTGGGATCGGTTGGGTTCAGCGCTGCTGCGTGGGTGCTTGCACGGCGGCGGGAGCAGCGGTGCGAGTAAGTGTACGTGCCTGACGGCAGCTCTGCGGGCGGCGGCCTCCTCGCTGGAGGGGCAGGCCGTCCGGCGCGGACGCGGAGGGTGAATCACCTCCCGACAGCGGCTGGATTTTTCCACTGCGCATAAAGGGCAGCCAGAGATGCGGCTGGGGCGAAAGCAGCTGCTAGCAGCGGCCGGCCTCTGTGGAGGGAGCTGCTCTTCAGGCCCGTCCCAGGAAACGCCCTGAGGGGAACGACTTGAGGAGCGCCGAGAGGGCAACGCCGCAAGCCCGAGCGTGACACACAGCTGTGCCGTGCCATAGAATAATAAGACAGTTTGGGTTGGAAGGGACCTTAAAGCTCATCCAGTTCCAGCCCCCAGCCATGGGCAAGGACACCTTCCCCTAGACCAGGTTGCTCCAAGCCCCATCCAACCTGGCCTTGAACACTGCCAGAGATGGGGCAGCCACAGCTTCTCTGGGCAACCTGTGCCAGCGCCTCAGCACCCTCACAGGGAAGAGCTTCTTGCTAATATCTAATATAAATCCTGTTGGTAGAGATAGAAACCCATGCAAGATTTACAAGTGCACCTGAATTTGCTTTTACATGTCATATTGAGGCTTTCTAATGCAGCCCATATATCTACCAAGCATCTCCCTGTGAGCAGAAGCCAAATCCTCTAAAACCAGATTATAAACATAGCAAGCACAGGTTTTGTTCCAACTTCAGTGTCCCTATTCATATGAACTAAGTTATATGAGTCTCTAAATGTTTGCAGAAAACCTAGCCCATGGTTAAGTGCTGTATGAGATGTAGGAGCAGGTGATGAATAAAGCACAAGAAAAATGTTGAGTTCCATGACTATAAGGGTCTGGTAGTGTTTCATTCATTCAAGAGCTAGTAATTGCCTTGTAAAACTGGACATCATTCCTTAGTTAAAAGCAATCCTCACAAACCAAAGTGCTGCAGCTTAACTTCTCTCTACGGATCATTTAGTGGTAAGAAAAATAATGCTTATGGAAAGGCACCATAGTGCAATTTCCTTTTTATCTTGTCAAAGAGTATTAATGCTTTGTTGTGTGAGAAAGAGTAGAGGAAAGTACATAGAACAAAGATCAAATTTCCTGAAGCAAGAAGCCTCATTACTGGATAGTGTTATGTTCACATACAAAGTGGATTGGTTTTATTTTCTCAAGACATAAATAATACTTCTATTTTATCCAGGTGTAAATAAAGGGACTAGGACAAGGAGGAAAAAAAAACCCAACACAATGCTAACACAGTCGACAGGAGTATCTTCCTTTCAATAAATTCCCGGTTTTGTTAGCACATAGGGGGCTTCAGCAAGTTACTATAAAACTGTCTTGCTGTAAAGCAATGCTTGCTTCTCCCAGTCATGCCTTCTGTGTACAGGCAGTAAAACTGACTGGCATGTTAGTTATTCTTCTTTCAGGCTGAATGGAAGGAGAAGGTAAGATCAGGCTCAGGTTGATTAAGGTTGCCAGAAACAATGGAAATCATTGCTCATGAGGAGGAGGTGCTTGCAGGGCCCAGCAGATTGAGGCTTTCCTGGATAGCTGGTGACAAGTGCATCTGCTGAAACACAGGGCTGTATGGAAGGAAGTCTTGAAGACTGCTAGCGAAACAGTTTCCTGTTCTTGTAGCTTTTTACTGTTTTCAACAAAAGCAGGTTCTGTACATATCTTCCAGAGAGAAAAAAGCTGAAGCTTAGAAAAGGGAACAGGAGAGACACCCTCTGTGAAGTCCGTATGCTGAATGCACCTGTAAACACTGTTTTCCTAACAGAAAGCACAGCAAAGTGTAAGGCACCAACTGAAGCTCAATCCTGCAGGCTGTCTCTCCAGGAACCCTCTGCTGTGCTGCAGTCAGAGGATGCATCTTCCCACTGACAGTTGGCTGCTGTGAATAACTGCTGTATTCTCTCATTTCTGTTTTCTTCTGTCTCACCAGGAGCCTGTGATTACTGTTTTGTTGTACAAGAAGTCCTGTGCCTTCCAAAACTTCAGCTGCCAATACTAAATGATATTAAAAGGCCCATCTGTCTGAGAACAAAAAATTCTGTCAGAGCTACCTGAAGCATCGTATTTCTCTGTAATCTGATACCTATGACTTATTAAAATCTGAAGGTTTAACTATCTGTGGAAGATATCAAGTTACTTTATTTTAATAGTGTTTACTTAGTTTGTGAAGTGTGCATTTTATTTCAGAGTATTTGAGAAGACAATGCCTCTTTCATTTAACTTTGTGTGCTTCCTCTTTTTACATAGCTTCCTAAAAATAGTTTTACAGACCTCCTGTTTTGCTGATGATATCTGCATGAAAAATGCCTTTTGAGGCATATTTTCTATTTCACAAATAAACTACAATACCCTATATGTTATTATACCAAACCAAATTGTGCCATTGTATCCATTGCCATTACTTTTTATCATTCTTGGTCAGAGTCTACTCCACCTTTTTACTTCACAGGCAGCATCATCTCTGAAAGTGAAAATCATACCCTTCTTTCATCTTGCATTACTAAGTGTCCTTATAAAAGTGTGGGATGTTTTAATTTCACTGTAAGCTTAAATGCTTGTAGCTGTATGGAGGAGATACCCTAGTTGGTCGAACCTACAACTTGAACACCTCCTGTGCCATTGGCAACACACAACTAATTTCTGGGATAATTGCAAGTTTCCTTTAAATTATAAAGGTGGCAGTTGTTTTGCAGATAATGTCACTCTTATATTTGCATTTTTTCCCTTGGAATGTAGCTCTGAGCATAATATTGTTTCAGTAAAATGCTCTGAGTTTGTCCAATTTACTTGGAAAAGAAAAATAGAATGAAATTTCAACCAAATAATGTATAGTTGTGTAAGATCAAATGATTCCTTGAAACTGTATAGATGTCCATAAAAGCAAGAAATCAGGAAAATAAAAAAACAAACAAAACCCAATCAAATAAACAAAAAAAACCACCAAAAAACCACCAAAAAAAAAAAAAACCCTGCACAAAAAATAACAACAACAAGAACAAAACCCCAAAACACTTAAAATAAAGTTAGCAATACTGACTCAGTTCTGTCGGAAAAGAGAGATGCTCAGAATGAAATATGTGCATTTGCCCTTCTGATGTGACTGATAAAAACATCTGTCTAGACAGAGAGACAGTGAACACTGTTCTGCCAAATGGTAATCACAGGTAACATCAACATCAATCAAAAATAATGGTATCTAGGGTGAGGTCAGTAGTTTGGGTTGTGTAAATCTATGATAATTCAGTAAGCACATGTGAAGAAAATTCAATGAAGTGCAAAGATGCAGTTTCATCCAAAAATAAAAATGACTTTTCATGTTCTGAAAATGAAGAATAAAGATAAAGAGCAAAGCATGTGAACCTGAAAAGAACAATTAATTCAAGAAGAATCTTGACCCAGAGGGATTTTTCTGAGCATGCTTTACCCACTCACCACTGAGAGCCTCTGTGTATCTGTGGGGATGTTCTTGACAGGTTCAGTAATGTCCTTAGAGGCTTTAATGTGGCATGAAATTTGTTTCTAATTTGTAGAAACAAGTAAAACATAGAATCTGATTTCTAGCTAGGAACCAGTGCCAGCAAGGGACAACTGGTATTTTTTCTTATCAAGGAAAAGGTGGTTATTTTTTAAAACTTCAGTTCTCTGTGTTGAAAAGGAATTGTAAATGACATTGCCCTTGGCATAAGTAGTTTTAAACCCTTTGCCACTTCAGATTATCTTTTTCATGCATTCACAGCAGCACAGATGGCAATGCCAAATACCATCCCCATGCGATCCTGATAGATCCACTCACTGACAAGCAGCATCCTGGACATGTGCTGGGAACAGCAAGCAGCATGCTGCTTCACCATTCATTTCTCCCCTGCTCTTGGCATTTTCCCTTGCAGGAACAACGGCTCTGCTCCAGCTCTAAATACTCTGTTCATTGCTTCTTCTCCTGCTCTCCCCGAAATGAACATCCCTTGAACTCTTTAGCAAAGGAAGAGTGGGGTGAAAGCAAGAGCAAATCTTGATGGCAAGGTGGAGCAATCAGCATCCTTAGAGTAAGCTTAGAGAAAGATGCTGGAGGTCTGAAGGGGGGGAGGGGGGACGAGGAGTGAGGGGAGAGGGGAAGAAAAAAGGAGGGACTCAAGTAGTCAGGTAAATGGTTTATTAATTTATTGCAATTCTGCTATTCCCTGGGAAAAGAAGGAAAGGAGAGGGAATAATGATCTGGGCTAAGAATGAGGAGGAAGTAAAACCCTCTCATTTTCTCCCCCCTCTCTCTTTTACATTCTTGCTCTCCTAGTCATACCTACAGTTTTTCTCCAGGTGCCTCAGTTTCGGCAAATTTGGCCATTATCTTGAATATGATTCACTGATTAGTGTATGTTTTTGAAGCCATCCATCTAAGTCGCTGCAGTTCTTGCTGTATTAATAATTAAGCTGTAATAATAATAATCTATGTGTTCTCTGACAACATTACTCAAAATTATGTGTGGGTGTGTTTTATTTATTATAGGAAATATATATTATGAAATATATATGATCTCCCTGGGGAGATCATTCCAGCGGCTGATTGTTCTCATAGTGAAAACTTTTCCTCTGGTGTCCGGCCAGAATCTCCCCAGGAGTAACTTGGGGCCATTGCCCCTTGTTTTTTCTGTGTGACTCTTTGTGAAAAGGGAGTCTCTGTCTTCTTTGAAGCCACCCTTTAAATACTGGTATCGCATGGAAACTGCGCAGAATCTCAAAGCAATGAAGAGGAAATAAATGGCAGTGTAACTCCTTCCAGCATTAATTCATGATCCCACTCTTCAGCCCTGTGTGGGGGCCCTGAGAGCAGCCCTGCTCTGGGAGGTTTGGCTGCTGGGGTACAGAGCCAGTGTAGAGCACTGTGGTGGCAGCACTTTTATTCTGGGGAGAGGCCCCAGAAGAAGACACGCAGTATGAATTGTCAGGTCCTTGGCTGCTACGAGTGTGAGGTTGGGGCTTTGTGGAGCATTTGTCAGCATTCCAACCCTTGAACTGTTCTGAAGGTTTCATATATAAGGATTAGTCCTCCTGGTTGGCAACCAAGGTGAAATCAGAAGAGGGTTCTGATAGGATAAATACATTACAACGACACCTACATTGTTTTGTATTGACAGCAAGAAATGAGCAAGAGAAGAAATGTGCTATGAATGGTGCTTCTGAAGCTTGCATGATCAGTTTGAATGGGTGGAATATAAAAATAACAGCAGCCTATAATCTATTCAACAAGCATAAAATAGTGAAAAATTACACGCGGGACCCTATCACTTGTTTTGGACACATTGTAACTTGTATCAAAATTGTAACAACTCGGACACAGAGAACCTTGAGTGCAGCATTTCAGCTAGTAAAACCCAATAAAGGGACACTGCTGGGGATAATAGAATCATGGAATAGTGAGGGTTGGGAAGGACCTTAAGATCATCCAGTTCCAACCCCCCTGCCATGGGCAGGGACACCTCACACTAAACCATGTCACCCAAGGCTCTGTCCAACCTGGCCTTGAACACTGCCTGGGCAGCCCATTCCAGTGCCTTACCACCTTTACAGTGAAAACTTCTTCCTTATATCCAATCTAAACTTCCCCTGTTTAAGTTTTAACCCATTACCCCTTGTCCTGTCACTACAGTCCCTAATGAAGAGTCCCTCCCCAGCATCCTTATAGCCCCCCTTCAGATACTGGAAGGCTGCTATGAGGTCTCCATGCAGCCTTCTCTTCTCCAGGCTGAACAGCCCCAACTTTCTCAGCCTGTCTTCATACAGGAGCTGCTCCAGTTCCCTGATCATCCTTGTGGCCTCCTCTGGACTTGTTCCAACAGTTCCATGTCCTTTTTATGTTGAGGACACCAGAACTGCACACAATACTCCAAGTGAGGTCTCAGGAGAGCAGAGTAGAGGGGCAGGATCACGTCCTTCAACCTGATCAATTAAAGACTACCAAACAAAACAGAAAATTAGTTTTAATTTCCTCATAGAAACTTGTCTGTGTCTTGTATTCTACCTGTACACTTGGGACTGAGAGGAAATGGTGTGGCAGTCCACTTAGAAAATCTGTATAGAATGACCTGGAGACCAGCTATGAACAGTCAGCTGTATTTCACGAATGACTCATCTTTCATTTCTTAAACCAAACAGTAGAGCACACAGCATGAGGCAATCCTGAAGTGTTGGACTTCAGGCTTAAAAAGAATCATGGCACTGGAGATGGTTTTCTAGGCATCAGGGACATTAACGGGGGCAGGAAAAGAACACTAACAGTAGAAGCATAGTTTGGGTTTAGAATCATAGAATCATAGAATGATTTGGGTTGGAAAGGACCTTAGGATCATTCAGTTCCAACCTGCCTGCCATAAATTGAGTTGGAAGTGACATTTAAAAGTCACCTAGTCCAGCCCTCTTGCAATGAGCAGGGACACCTTCAGCTAGATCAGTCTGTTCAGAACAGAGAGGGAAAAAACAGAGGGAAGACAGGGGAAGCAGAAATAAATTAGTAGTAGTTCAAAATAATGAGCAGGGCCGCCAAAGAGTAGGCAGTAAACCCAAGTGCCTATGAAGTTAATAGGATTTAAGGTGTCATAGTTACAAAAGCCAATACCTCCCTTCCCCCAGAGTCTGTTTAATAGATACGTGCTATCACAGTGTTAGGAATGCAAATGTATAAAGAAAGCAGAAGTGCTCATTTTTAACGCAAACTGGCAAACCAAGGAAATTCCACAGGAAGTCAGAACTGTTAAGATTATGTCAAAACTGGAAAAGTAAAAGTGGGACCAATACAATCACAAACTACCTAAACTACATCAGTCTCTGGTAAGCCTTGTTTAAACAATCATGTCAGTACTTCCTGGGGTGTATGAAGGAGGAAACTTTCTACCCAATTGACTTGGTGCTGCGTGGTGCAGCAGAAGATGGGGAAGTCAGGGACACTGTAGGTTCTCTCTGACAGAAAGTGATGTGCAAGCTGATCCCCAATGATGTCTTGCAGCACACTGACTGTGGGTCAGTCATGATTGTAATAATAGGAGAAAGGTTTTGTATTTCCTGGTTGATCAGCCAGCAAATCTTCCAAGAGGTCCTATAGTGGGAATAAGAACATGGCAAGGAAGTG